CTGTACTCACGACCTCGGTCAAGATTCTCCCATACAGACCTCCAGCTCGGTTAATAAGAGCTAAGTATTAAAATCATTGAATCAACGAGTGCAAGTACACAAAACATAACATCAATTTGTTACCGTCCGCGTGCTTTAACTTCCTAACGGCACCAACTGGAGGAACATATCGAAACTTTACTGAATAACTGACCTCCTGGGAAGGCTAAATAAAGTACATTCAGCACGACTCGCGTTAAAAAACCCGAATTATTGGATAAACAAACGACAGCTGAGCACGCGTTCACATCTCATCTATACGTATAAAAATAATTTAAAATTGCAATTTGAAGGGAATTTAGGTAACATTGTAGTAAAACCATAAAACTACTCGTTGTCGGGTGTTGTGAAGTGATGGCTTATCCGTCTTCATCAATTATAGCCTGCTAATACAGCCGTGCCTCGTCGCTGCCGGTCAGTGAGAGAGCGAAAGCACCATTACCGGTCTGGAGCAGACAGCTATCACAGTCAAAGACATCTCAAATTCATAATCACATTGTTATTTACTATTTGTGGGAAACATGTCTTTACATTACTTTACATTCCATGCAATCCAGTAATTTTCAGAATGGTAGAATCACAGCTTAACTTGTGGACGAAGTAAAAGGTTACGTTCAGATCCAAAGCTTTTTACTAAGTACAAAAAGCGACACAATATACTCGAGCGCACATCAAGTGCATTTCAATCAGAGTTTCTCTGCACTCTTCTGCTAGGCAGAGAAGCAAAAGGATGGAGCACAGCTGTCAGGCATTACAATGCCGCCATACATACTAACCTCCAGCTTCTTCAATAATGGTAGCGATGGTATCTGCCCTGTCACCAGCCAACTGCAACAACACAATAACAAACAAGCTAACTAAACATCAGAAATGCCGGCAAATGCCCCCAGGACGATTCGAACTCATGCACGACACCCCGAAGATGCTCTAACCACTCATCTACAGAGGCAAACCACAGTGGAGTGAGTCGAATGTAAGCTACAAAGGAAAAATCGATTACATTAGGTTCTAATAATCCTCCCTCCAATGGGTCGATATAGCTACAGTAACACCCTTGATGTGCTCCCCCGCCTAACCGCCCGCCTATGTCCGGCAAGTTTACCTTTTATCAATTCGTCTCCGTTACTTTGCTTTTAGACGCCCGCCCTCAGTCTCAATTTATGACTATATTCAGCCATCATTAAGCTTGCTTAAACCGAGGTCAATTTAACAGCAGTTAAACCAATAAAAACTAGAGACAAGAACAAACGACATTTCGATCTCGCTGAGATCATTTTCAAGTTTAAAAAGTGATTAAAATTGTTTGCATATATGAGTAAAATAAGACGTGAGAATTTGAAAAGCAATAAAAATATGCACTGAGCGTTACAAAACGTAACTGATAAAAAACTAAAACACAAAAGCCTAGATAAGACAATAGGACTGTTTAAAACTACACAAGATGCAGTAAGTGTGAAATATAAAATACTTTTCGCTATTGATTCACAATAGGGGGTTTCTTTTCTCTTAGTTTGACCTTGGATCCGATCTTTCGGCTTGTGTAGACGGGATGGATATCTGTCCCGATTTTGCGACTTAATTCTCCCAGTTGTCTTCGCACAGAATTGGTTGATCTCTGGTCCTTAAATGGTAATAGTATTCTCACAGGTGCTTTGTTCTCGTCAAAACGTCGTTTGTTCTTATCTCTAGTTTTTATCCTAAAATGTGTTATTAGAATAAACCAAATCCCACGCAAATCAAAGGTAACAATGCCCTCTTCATGTTCTTCAGCGCACCGCATTTCCCTATTGAAATAGAAGGGAAAAGAACGCAAGGTAGCAGACTAAACCTATGCAGTACAATAGAGATAAGTAACCCACCTTAAGAATGTTATTAAGGCCATCCAGCACAATCTGAACGACCTGAAATGAAAATAAGCAAGGCTGCCATTTAGCTTTCTCAACCTCATCAACAATTCATTAAGTTTAAACACAGGAAATCATGACTGTGACGGTGTTTAGATATCTAATCTTAAATAGCATAGATTTTTACGATTTTAACTCTCCATTTTCTCCTTAGTTTTAGATTCAGTTGAGAAGATATATTAGCGGAGCTCCGGCGACCTAAAGGGCCGCCAAGCAGAGCCCCATACTCATATAGGAATGAAAAGGTAACCCATGAGTTGATTTTCTCATGGTTATCATGGCTAGCGGTAGTGCTCGTGGGCGCGTACGCACGACGACGATGGAGTCGCGCGCAACATGGCGGCCAGGGCGGAAAAAGGCCGGGCGGTGAAACGGGCAGTCCGCTCTCGGTCCAATGTGTGATGCGGAGAAAGACTGGCACGAGCGCTCCTTCCGCGCTTCCGGCGAGATTAATGGTTGCCAAAACTCTCCTCTCGACGAACCGGAAATCAACTTTTCTTTCTTTATTTTTGAGCCACCAGTGGTGTATTTTCAAAAGCCTTTTTGATGCTTTAGACCTAAAAGTCAATACCTTTATGTCTGTTGTAATGATGCTTAAGTAACTTCGTCGTAGGCTACCCAAATTCATGACCAAGCCGTGATGCGCTGCGTCTTTTACGAGTACTCCACATTACTCCACTCTAAATTTTACATATGTTGAAGATCGATAGCTTTTACATA